TTGGCATCGGTAATGTTGTCCTTAGTTTAGAATAATGTATAGACATCATTGCAAACATTATTTGACTGTGATCCAACCAACAGCTGCTTGTTATTCAGAAGTGATGGAGCATTAATAACCACATATGAGTACACATCTGATGGTACCCACTCAGGTTTTACCTTCTGGTTAGTTTATGTTTGGTTTCCTCCACGTTGCGACTTGCCTCTCGTGTTTTATTCAGGAATGAAAGCTGATATGGTCTGTGTGTAATACGCTGTCTGTCTATGCCTGCCTCTTCCCTGTCAGTTGCACATGTAATGATTTGAGTGCTCAGACTAACTGGAGTCTTTGTGTGTCCGCGGAACAAAAACCAGAAGAGGTGTAATTACTTTGTGGGGAACATTCAATCCAGTCCTGTCTTAGTGATTTGAAAAGAGGCATCGTGAGGAGTTTCTAATTGTTGCTCATGTGAATGAAAGGTGATACTCAGATCACTTAGCTTTATTCACTTTTTTTGGGCTGTGGTCTCTTTTCAGGATAGAGAGTGGAGTAGGCCTCAGGACAATTCTTTCCTCTCCCAAGAGAAAGTAATCACTCTTTAATCAAGTAGTGGGGATACAAAATGTCCACATGCATCCAATGTTGCAATTCCGATCAGAAATAAAAGAAAGAGATACTTCAGATAAGAGGCAGTTACAACATGAAGAAAACAGCAAGGTAGGAAGAGGAGAAGGAATGAACAATTTAAAAAGGAGGAATTAAAAAAGGAAAAGTTGAAGAATGAAATGAGGAGAAAAAGAAAGATGGTAAATGAAGGAAAGTGGGAGGGATTACCAGTCAGTAGGAATGTAGGTCCAATTAGTGATGCGCTATGGCCAACAAATATGGACACCTGTCAACTTACATGTTTCTACTTTTGGTCAGGGACATTTTGTTGTGGTTTGTGTTTGGCTGTTTCTTGCTTCAAAATGACAGTGCCTCCATGCAACAAAGCCAGCTCCATAAATACATGTTTTTCTTTCAGTTTGGTGTCAAAGAACTTGACAGAGCCCTGACCTCAACCCCATCCAACACCTTTGAGAGGAACTGAGACAGCAACTATGATCCAGGACTCATCATCCAACACCAGCGGTTCACCTCATGTGCTTTGTGGCTGAATCAAACCAAACCACTGCAGAAAGCTTCAATGGATTAATGAAGGCTCATCCAATGGCAGAATGAATGCTCACAGTTTTGGGACGAGATGTTCAACAATCTTGTTCTGGTATAAAGTTGAGTGGACCTCGTACTATTGGCAATGGAGGAATAAGTTATCAGATTAGTATTAGACCTTAGTGTAGAACTACTAAGTTAAAAGTAAAAGCCCTGCATTCAACATTTTACTTGAGAAAAAGTACAAAAGTATTAGCAGAAAAGTATACTTAAATACCAAATCTAAAAGTACTCATAAGTGGCCTTTTTTTGAAAAATATTTATTGTATCACTGGTTAATGATAAGTGATGTATTAATGTGTCTTCTACCAGAATGTAGTGGAGTAGAAGTAACATCAAATGAAAATACTCAAGTAAAGTACAAATACCTCTAAAATGTACTTAAGTGCAGTACTTGAGTAAAATAATGTGGTTAATTTCCACTGACTTTTTGCCCTGCAGTTTATATGTGAGTTAAATAAATGTAAATCTCCTGAGCAGGTGAAGCTGTCCGTCATTTAACTTCACTGATTCTGTTATTGTTTCCTCTCTCCTTTGTTTGTCCTCAAACAGGAGCAAAGGATCATTCACTTCCCAGCTCTTCTCAGAAGGTTACACTTCACCGCCCCTCTGAGCCTCTTCTTATGGGACTGAGTTAAATGAATGCATAAAAGTGAATATGATAGACTCTCTCTTGTGTGCGCTCAGCAGCAGCCAAACTCTGCAGCAGGAATTTGGTAGCCCCTTACCCTCATGGGAAATGAAAGGTGGCTGGGTTAATAGCATATTGACAAGCAGCATGGCAGGAGTTGGTGCATGATCAGGAAGCACCCACATGCAGGAACGGGAGGTGTGGCGAGGGTCGACCGGAGGGGAACAAAAGGAATGCACAACACCTGGAACAAAGCCAAGAAGGAAAGGTCACGGAGGATACAGAGTTGGAAAAGATCCCAACGGAAGACATATGGAGGACTGTGTCTCATACGTCATAATTAATTATACTTTATTATTAATATTTTACTAATACCAGTTTAGTTACTCACCAAAATACTTATGGTACATTTTCACCTGCTTTTTAAAAAATGTTTTAGCATCCCTTATACAAACCAGTGGTGGAGAGTAACTCAGTACATTTTATTGTAAGTACAACTTTTAGGTACTTTAAATTCAAATATTGTAGCGGCAAATGTTGTACATTTAGTTAATTTGCATATTCAGATTTCTAATATCATCAATTGTATTGTATTTTTATGGGTAAAGAGAAGACTTTATTAATCCCTTAGTGAATCAGTCTCCCAATATTATTAACAAAACTGTTTTTCTTTTTAATATGTGAGTAAAGTACAGAGGGATTCATAAGATTAAGATTAAGATGGACATTTATTGATCCCCTGAGGGGGACATTCAGTTTTCCTCTCTGTTTTTTATACACGCACATGCTTCTTATACAAGTAGCCTACATATCACAGTTATGTTTGTGCACACGTGCACATAAGGAAGACTTACTGTAGCAACTGGTTTCTCCAGTGTCGGTATGAAATTGTGTATGCAATCAGTCACATGTTTAGCTTGGATCCAAAGACAAATAGTTTTGGGCTTCAATTGTAGAGAACCCTTATGTGAATAAACAAGGAAAACAAAAAGGAAATTGACATCGACACGTTGGTGCCTGTTAATCCTGGTGAACACTGCTCTCTGCTGGATATGTGTCTTCCCTGCAGGTGAATGATCCATATTAAATCACCTACAAAATGAACAAGATGTACCTAAATCTACCATACTCCATGCAAGAAAATAAACATATAAGTGATTTTAAAGTAAAAAAAATACAACACTTTTTTTGTTTGTTGTGATTTCAAGCACAACAGGAGTTTCCAAGCAACAGGTGTGAAAATGCAGAGGACGGACAATGGAGGGGGCTGAGGTTGACTGATTTATCTCAAACACTATTACACATTAATATATATATATATATATACACACATACTGTTATTTTGAAATGTAAAAAAATGGCCTCTGACTGGGAGGTTGCTGGTTTGCTTTCCTCGATAGACAGAGGAAACATTTGCCGGGGTAAATAACTGTCAGGCTCATCTAACATTTATCATGAGACACCCTTAAATGTGGTTAAAGATATTTTAATATTGCCTAAAATCTGAGATTTATTTTTTGGTCTGTACTATTCTATACAGATGTTGTACTGTAGGAGGACATATTTAATCCCAAAATATATACATGCTCCTTTAACACACACAATTTAAAGGTGGGGTAGGTAATTCCCTTCAGAAACACTTTTTGTTATATTCCATGGAATGCTCTTAACATCCCGATAGCAATGAATACATTAAATGCTTTGACAATAAATACATACAAACATTTCATCTGTGGAAGCCGTAGGGCTGTGAAAAACATGACGAATTATTTTAGCCGGCCCGGCTTAAATAACTGGATGGCCTACCTGCCTGTCAGCCTTCCATCTCGTGCACACATTTATCTCGTGCCCTCATTGGTCATGTGCACGTTTGTGTGTGTTGGAGGAGGGGCTCTGGAAGGAAGTCTGAAGGAAGGGGCAGATTTTTTTCGGCTGGGTACTTTCAAATTCTACCGCTAGCTGGTTTCTCCATTCTTACCTACCCTACCTTTAAGGCTGCTCACTGGCTGTGAATGTATTCTTATTTTCTGCAACTGGGTGAATGCAACACAGTTCAGCATTGAGTACTAGTTCACCACGTGTACCTAAGATAAAAAAAAATACCATATTAATGGTGTCTCCCTGGCATCTCATACAGGGGCCCTGAATCAACTGACCTGCCTCCAGCTTCTGGACATGATGTACGAGCTCAGGAGGGTGAAGCAGCTTCAGACTGCAAGTCAGAAATGAAACTCATTCAGAGTGGCTAAGAGCAAAATCTTTTAAAGCGAGGGGCTTTTCTGCAGCTTTTTTTCTTATTCCCATCTCCCATGAACCTGGGTATCGCCCCCATGTGATCCACTGCTTGCCTTCTATCAAGGTTTTAGATAGAAAACGTAAGATGTATAAAACATTCAGAGGAAAATGCATTTAACCTGCGAAGCTGCAAGTACACAGTGTGTGTTTTGTGATATTTTGCCGTGAAAGTTTGTCAGTCGTCTGGTCTCTTTCTGTTGTGTCAGAGGTGAAGTCTGTGGAGAGGAGGAAGTCCTTCCAGATTTACAGCCAGGAGCGTCATCGTGTCCTCCAGTCTGTGGCCTTCTGCAGACGGGCAACATCGTCCTCCATCTGAGCGGACGTTTGTCAGTGCCAAGATCTGTTTGCAGTGTATTAATAAATCTGTGTTCTGCTCAAAATGTTATAATACTCAGTCAAAACACATGATAGTGTTCAGTGTAATGCCTACGGTTATATGAGCCCTTCATATAACTCCACTCCACTACAGATCTTGGGGAAAATGTAATGTGAAAACAATTGGAAAGCGTTTTGTGGCTTGGTGTAGCTGCATGAAATCCCTGTATAAATGTGAGGGCTAATAACAAAAAGAAAATATTGGCTAATTCTCTACTGTAAGTGATTGAGTTGCATTGTGGGTTAGGTAGGCGCCCAGGTTTTGACTAGGAGGAACCAATAGAATAATTATATATATTTGACTTGGTTTTTTTAACTGTCAATTGTGACTCCCATAATGTTATCAGAGTGCAATGCTCAGTGGGTGGAGAAATAATTTAAAGTAATCTGTGTTCTCGCCCTCTGGAACCTTTTTGAAAACGTCTTCATTATTGTGTATCTTGCTTTAATAATGCATTCTGCCTGGAGACAGGTTATGGTTAGAAAAAAGGAAACAGGAATTTGATTATCGTATGTGTACCACTCAACATGGACATGATGAAGTTGGTCTTTATTTAACGAGACTCAGATCAAGTTGTTGACATATTGTAGATTGTCAGAGTTCAAGACAAACAAAGCCTTGTTGGATCTGGTGTTTGATTAAATCAAGTCAGTCGGTTTCAGGCTGCACAATAAATGAAATGTATCACAAGAAAAAGTATCCTAGTAGTGGTGTTATTGTGCTGTGTACAACAATGTTTAATCAATGAATGTTGCTGCATTTTGAGGGGGAAAAAACCCTTTCAATTCTGTTACCGTTTTGAAAATCCTGAGCATTAACGTCATCTTTACCATGCACAAAAAATAAATTCATGTTGTTTACATTTAAAAAATATACATTTTTGGTCAATATAGTGCAGCCATGCCATCCACCCCCATAACATTATCCGTAAAAAAAGAAAAATCCAAATAACAAAATTAGGTATATTGCAAACAAACGACAGCTCTGATTGGCTACGCAGTCACTTCTCTCCTGCACAGGATGCTACAGTTTAAGGCAGAAATATGCTTTCCATTATTCATGTGAACCATTAGCTCTTCATGTCTTCCCTCCCAGTGACCACAAACACACCAGCCTACGCCATTTTCACATTCACATAAGACAATATCTGGAAAAGAACATATAAAAATGACATAAAGATGACCGCTGTAGCACAAACCTTCCTTGTGTGTTAGTTTCTCTCTGCCCTCTGACGGTCTCAGGTCGATAATAAATATGGGTTCTTATCTCCTGCTGGATCAGTCCTCGTCTGGCTTTCAGTCTCACTGCCAGTTTGCTCTGTCTGTGTTGTATGGATGTGCTTCCTGATGTTCCTCAGTTGTCAGCAGCAGCAATGGGAGCGGGGTCTGGAGTTTCTGAGGGGGGGACCTCACTGTTGGTCTCCACTGAGAGCTCCTGCATGGCCTCCTGCACGGTGTCACTCTCTTCTGAAACAGAGACAATTCTGTTAGCTCTGAACTGCTTTTATGCTAAATCAAGACATCGGGGGTTGAGTTTAGCTATTCCCACGCTTCATGTTGGAATAATGAACATTACTTAATTCTGACAATATGTAACATGGAAAATAAATGACTGTGTGAAGAAACTCGAATTTCATTTAAAAATCAGGTTTCAGCATCATTCCAATTGACTCTGAAGGAGTTTTTTTGGTTGGTAACCTGTAGTTTTTGCTATATATAGCTGGTTATATTTAAGCAAGCGAAGCGGAGGGTCAACAACCCCCTTAGCTGTGATATAATGAGCATATATCACGGCCTGAAGTGAGCTATTGCTTTTATAAAACGGTTACCAAGTGTGGCAATATGAAAGAAAAATACACACTCTAATTTAAATAGTTTTTATTAGTAAATAATGATGTTCAAAATAAAATAGTCCCTCCGTTGCCTTCTGCACAAAACATAGTGCGAGGTGGTTGCTATGCAACAACACTAACAGCTAGCGAACATATTAGACAGAGAGCGTTGATCCATTATTTGGCTATTTATTTACATTCATTTGTATGTTGTTTATTGTGCAGTCACTGAAAACCTGTCCAGCATCAGTAGCATGGCTTACGTGGTTACTTGTATAGGTTGAGGTTGTTCTCGGCTGTTGCTTGGCGTGGCGAGATTCGGCTTCCAGTAGCTCTGGAGAGAGCTTTCGCACCTGTGGCCACTAACGGTCATAATTTCTCTGCTTTGTTTGAAGACCCGCATCAGAAAGCTTTTGAATGGTGGTACTTTTCCAGTTGGTCTACCTGCTCTTCATGTCGTCGTTTAGGTGCTTTTTTTTTCTGGAGATAGGCACTGCTCAATTCACTCCTCCATAGTAAGACCCCCCCGGAGGTCGAAGTTAATCTTAAATGTTTCCATCTTATGCTTTGTAAGTTTGTTTCGTAACGGAAGAAATGTAAATGTATTTATAAAACTGACAAGTCAAATCAAGCAATCTGATTGGTCGATAGCGTTTTTGCGGACCTCTTTGATTACAGATTTGAAAACATCGTTGATTGCTTTAAAAGTAGCACAATTCATTATGTCAAACCTTGGAAAGTATCTAGATATCCCTGCCATAATGCCAAAGGAACTGCACACTGAATATGTTTTGCCGTTTGATGTCTATGTCTGGACCGCTGCGTAAAAAAAAGGAGGGTTTCTGCCCCGTTACTTCTCCGCGGCTTTCTTGTTCCAGTTTGAAAAGCAAAGCAGTTTGCTTTTCAGCCCAACTGTATACTGTTTTTCTCAGACGCGGAGGGATACTGACTTGTTGTGAAAAGTAACTTACAATTCTACCCGTGGTATACGCTCAGTATATCACGGCTAAGAACCAATCAGATTGCTTGATTTGACTTGTCCGTTTTATAATATTAGTTATTACTGCTTCTTTTGCACTTTTGCAGATATTTGCTGATTAAATTAACTGTCTGTCCTTCTTTACTTACTTATAATTATGAAGGAATTACCTCTTACCATTAAACACTATTTGGATGTGTTTGACACCGTTGTAGTGTTTTATTCTTTGACATATTTTGTCTATTAGACAGATGTTGATGAAGTACCATTACCCTGCTCCATCCTCAGTTGGGCCGATTCTTCCTCCTGCTTCTTCCTCTGCTCTTTGAGCGTCTTGCACACTTTCTTGTGGGTGAACCAGTGCATCTTCTGGCAGGCCTGGTCACAGTAGATCACCTAAATAAACAAATTAGACATTTTATTTAACATGGGATGCAATGATAATAATACCAAAAAGGAAGAGAGAATGAACACCAGCATGAAGAGAGCTTTACTTTGACAGTTTGTGCATTTTGTTTTTCTCTGTGTATTGATGAGGGAAAGCATCTACCAAGTATAACACTGAACATTTTACACATGCAAAAAAAATGCTGTTTTGACACTCACCATTTTACAGATGGAGCATCTCTTCTCCGCTCCCTTCTCTCCACAGGTGGTACAGAACTCTGCGTCCATGAAGCCGACCTGACCTGTGATGGCCTGAGTCAGCACTGACAGAGCTGTGGGGTCGTTACCCTGCGTCAGCGAAAGGAAAGAAAATGGAGAAGAAAAACAATTAAACAAACTAGTTTTATATATTTGGAATTGTCTCCCAAGTAAAGTGTGTCTGAAATAAAGGAGTTTTCTGTTAACTAGACAGAGCTCCATTTAAACACATCAAACCTTCACAAAATCTTAACTGAAAGCCTTACATTTCCACTGTGATTTAAAGAAATACTGGCTTTGAACACGTTGCTGAATAAAATAATCTTTTATCATTCATCCAGACTCACAATCTCCACAGGGGCGATACTCCGCACCAGCTGCTGCAGGAGAGTGGCGTCACAGAAGGGAAACTTGCGGATGCACTCTCTGAGAAACTTCTCCTGGAAAAGGGGGAAGCCATCGCTGTCACGACCCTTCAGCAAACTGCAGGACGGGGGGTCAAGGAGAAAAGACAGTACTTCAACACATTTTGTAAGATTCATTTTCAGCCTGGGGTTTAATGTTAACCGTACAGAAGTCATACTGGAATAGTCAGATCTCCAGTCATTATACTGACTACGGTAAACCTCAATATGGTCCTTTAGTAAACAATGACAAGTGCAATCTGGCTAAAAAGGGCCACAGTCCTTAGTAAACATCCCCCCTGGCCTCACCTCTTGATGAGGCCATCCAGCTTGTCCTCGCGGTCCTTGAGGAAGGAGGCACACTTCCCCAGCACGCAGCTGATGTAGTGCATCTTCATGGCCAGCACCTCGTTCATGTCCTGCTGCTTGATGCACTTCTCACAGATGAGCTCCATAACCCGGCGACATTTCTCCAGAGCCTCCGCCTCCGCCACCAGGGGGTTCTCTTTCACCAGCATCACCATCTGCAAACCATCAACTTATCAAGTTCCACTAATAACCAAATCTACCTCTCAGAAAATAGAATATCCCATGTGATGTGTGTTTGCGGTGTCACCTTGGTGTTTTTTTTCTTCCAGACCTTTGAGGAAGGTACTGTATCTCTAGGCCATTTTGGATGGTGTTGAAAATGAATAATCAGGACTGTTTCGTTACAATTTTTTATTTAAAGAATTTTGGATCACTGATGATGTTCCTTGATTGACTAAGTATTCAAATGAGCTCTCTACCAATTGCACTCTAAAACCTTGTTAGACTCTGGAGCTAAGGCATGTTTGTAAGAGGAAGCTGTTAGATGGAGAGTCTGCATTGGAGATAATTTCTTCAGTCTGCATTTGAACATATTTGTCCTGCAGTGTCCTACCTTGACGGGGTTCAGGTTGGTGCTCATGATGACCTTGTGGAGGGGTCCGGCCAGCTTGGAGGGCAGCTTGGGTTCCTTCTCCAAACCCTGGAGCTTGGAGTAGTAATCCAGCTTGGCACGGGAGAAGAAGTTGTTGATCACTGTGACACAGTCGTGTTGCCCTGAGGACGGAAAAGAAGACACCGATCATTTTTCAATCTTTGAAAGCAATGTTTGTCACATGATTACATTTAGTTAGTAGCAAGTTAGGCTATTTAACAGTAAACACTAGAGACACGTTTGTGTAAATGCAAAAGACATATACACCAATTCTTCAACCATTTGGGAGTATTATGAGATGAACACTATTTACAAGACAAAAAAACTCTCAATATGATTATATTGATACATGAATGCAGCACAAAATATATGTATTTCCTTTTCAACAAACAAATATTCACAAAACAAAAACGAATGGATGTTAGTAGTGTAAATTGTGGACCAAGAAATATTTTATCAAAAAACAAAATTATTGGGGAAATGTTGCTGGCTGAAAAATAAGTGTCTTCACAACACTGGGAAGAATGAGTGAAAGAGACGTACCGACAAAAGCGGCCATTTGTGCGGCGGTCCTTCCAACAGAGTTGACCACGTCCGTTTCCGCCCCGGCGTCCAGCATCATCCATGTGATATCAGTCTTTCCTACAGCAACAGAGGAAGAGGAATCATAGCAAATGCAACATTCCAAAACAACAACAGAGATGAGATTTTGAATCATATGGCTGTGAGAATTAACTCTAACCTGACAGGCCGGCAAACATCAGCGCTGTGTAACCATGCTCATGTTGATTGCAGTTCACATCCGCTCCGTGTTGCAGCAGCAACTTGCACATGTCTGCTTTCCCTTTGTAAGCAGCGTGCATCAGAGGCGTCATTCCATACTGTGGAGAGGACAAGCTGTCAGGCACCGTGTCATTTACATGAATTTATCTTTTACACGAGGAACATGAAAAAGGTTGCAAAAATATTTAAAACTTAGAAATGTATAGTAATTGTGGTTATTACAAACAAAACCATTACCAAACATTTTGGCATTTTTCACCCAAATGTTTCCATTTGTATTATTTAAAATCCTTTTTTCTCAAGTAACCAGGAGAATAACAACATGTAGAAAACTCACACAGCTTTCATTATTTAAGAGAACATCCGTTGAAACACCTGATTTTGACAGGTGGACACAAAAGAATGACAGAAAGAAAGAAAGAAGGACATGAAGGACGTCCTCCAAGTCCTTTTGTCCCTCACATATGTCATCAAACAAAGGAAGAGCTATTCTGAGGGACTAGTATGTTTTACCTTCTACATTTTACACTTTGGTTAATATTATAACATTCAAGTAAGAAATGCAAGTTAATGGTGTCAAAAGTATTAATTCCACGTACACGTTATAAAACCTGCCAGGTAGAATGAGGTTTAAAATTATTTTTTATAGAAAATATAACTACGTGTTGCTTCTGGTAAGTCGATTGAGGAAATAATAATGTTAAAACCAAAACAATTAGCTAAATAAAAGCTTAGCAGCGTTGGTTGTTATTGAGTTTGAGAATAAACAAACATTTCACTGTTGATACTGACAGTATAGAGGAGTCTTAGAGGACTGTTTAAATGTGTTCAAAAACTGCTGCAGGTAGATTCCTGTCCAATGTAAGTCTAGATTTGTGTGCCTCAAATAACCCATAAAGTCTCAAACATCAAAAATATAATAAGATATGATTAATTAAAATAAATGCGAGTAATCTTTTACATATGCTTTTACGTATGCATTATATTTTTCAGAGTTTTGATACACGTTTGAATCTAAGATACACTTAGATGTGTTACCTCATCCAAGCAGTTGACTCGAACATCCTTGCACCCCAGCAGCCTCGAGGCCTCTTGAGTATTTCCTTTAGTGCAAAAGATTCAGTTTTATTGAAGTATAAATACGAACACCAAGTTTGTACAGCGGTATGTACAGCTGCTGAAGATATATTTAAAAGATCTAGGTCATGAATGCATCTGTTATAATGCACTTGTTACATTTAACATACATAGTACAAAGAATCTCACAGAAACAAAGTAGAAATGCATGTTTTCGAGAAGTTCCTTTCACTCAGGTGGACATGTGCTACAAGCTACACATTACAAGCTAGCTGCTATCTAACCTTAGCTACTACAAAGCATATCATGCAAACTCATATCTAAGTTAATTGCCATGGTTAAAAAGCCAGTCCTCGATCACAAACATTGTCAGTCTGACATTATTTCGTAAAATCTGTATAATAATGTATCATACAAGCTAATAAGAGCTAACCCAGTGTGTGTGTTTAAACAGGGATTAGCATTAGCCGAAAGGGGCTTACCTGCAGTAATAACCTGAAACAACTCCTTTTCGCTTGAAGACAAGTCTCCCTTCTTCGGAGCAGACATGTTGGTAATTATTAGATTGAAAATAGGCTATAATGGCACAAATAAAACGAGAAGCTCTTGATTAAATGTACGCTTTCTGTGGTTCTAGCAGTCGGCTGGGTCGGACATGTAGGCTAGCTCAGGTTGAGCTGTCATCTGGAGTATACCACTGAGTGAGGTTTAACAGGGGTGTAGCAGTTCAAACCAAAACAATACAGACATTTCTGTCCAGTAACTTGCAATTATAAATACAAATAAGTAATTTAAAAAGCGAAAAGATATACATGCAGGATATGTAACAGTTACTAACAGCGAGGATTACAAACTATAAACACAACCAAAACGTTGATTACCCCTATACTTTCACTCAAATAAACACTCCATTAAATATAGAAAATCCATTCAGAAATGTAAGTGCTTAAACGTGGACCAGCTGAGACGTGACATCCGATCGTTCATATAACATATATAATCAAGTTGCTTAATTAAAATACAAAAAAATGATAGTCATTTATTATAGTTACTGAGAGAAAACTGTGCAATTAAATTACAGTAACTCATCAAAATGTTAGTGAGTGGTGAAAGGCGTTTCATTATTATTACTGCCACCAGTAGTAGGCTACACATGTCTTCTCACAAACTCTACATCAAACGACATATATGCACTTCTTCAATATGTTATTTTGCACTGCAGTTTAATACATCCTGCTTGGCCTGCGTTGCAATATCTAAACATGGAGTACATCTGGTCCGACCAGTCCCAGGGGTCTCTGAAGAAACTAATCCACATTTGAAGGTCCACGGCTACTTCCTGGATTATCTGGTCTTCCACCCTATTCCCACAATGGCCAGGTCAGTGTGAAGAGCTCTGCAGTAGTACCAAACAGTCCAAGACATCCATTTTTTTGTAAAACAAGGTATTCATAGCGTTCTGTTGAGTAATTTCAGTTTGCAAATGAGGGACTCACATGAATGACTCAACGTTAGCCCTACATTTGTAAGTTGTTTTATTGCCCCATTATTTTTTATTGTGGTAGCAGTAATTCACTGCAATTGCAAATGAAATACATAAAATACACGTTACTGATAATTACTTGTTTTGCACTATACCCATCATTCTATGCATACTTGTAGTAACTAAAGAAATGTTGTACAGCCTGCCTGGCACGTAACACCCCCACACATATAAATCCAAACAGTATGTTTGGACCTGACAATAAACATCACCTTCTTGGTTATCAGGAAGATGAGACAAGTAATTGGGCAAATCAGCCAATACCTCAGTATTGCTTAGTCTTGCACCCTGTGGTGTTGCACTGCGCATCACCAACTCATCCTCATCCTCATTTGAGCTCACCCTCGAAACTGAAGCCATAGGGGAGACGGTTGTCTCCACCTGGTGAGCTTTGGAAGACTCATTTTGGTCATCCCTGGTGCAGTACTTCTTCAGCATGTTGATATGACACTCTCTGGTAGGACGTCTGCGGTCAGGTGTTTGAATGACGTAGTTTGTTTCAACGAGCTTCTTATCTACAACATAAGGGCCATAACATTTAGTAGACAGAGCAGAACCAGGTACAGGCAATAGAACCAACACCTTGTCACCTGGCTGAAACAAGCACGCTACCGCCTTCTGGTCGTAGCGTTTCTTCATGTTCCCCTGGGTAGAGGTCAGAGCTTCCCTAGCCAAGGAGCAAGCACGATGTAGACGATCCCTAAGTTTGGCGACATACTCCGGGATACTGCAAACTTTTTTCGTTGGCATGATCAAATGCTCTTTAAGAACCTCTGACCTCATGTTCAAACACTAGCTCAGCAGGACTAAAACCAAGAGACTCCTGAACAGCTTCACGGGCAGCAAATAACACTAAAGGAACACCATCATCCCAATCTTTATGAGACTTGTGGCAATGTTTTCTTAACATGCATTTCATAGTCTGGTGAAACCTCTCTAATGCCCCCTGAGTTTCAGGATGATATGGGCTGGATGTCACATGCTTGATACCTAAGGTGTCAAGTACCCGGGCAAACACTTTAGACATGAAGTTGGTACCTTGGTCTGTTTGAACTACCTTCGGTAGACCAAACATGGAGAAAAACTTCAGAAGTGCCTTGGTGATGACCGGGGCAGTGATTTTCCATAGTGGGATGGCTTCTGGGAACCTAGTGGAAGCACACATGACAGTTAAGAGAAACTGGTTTCCAGTTTTAGTTTTTGGCAAGGGTCCCACACAATCCACAATCACCCTTTCAAATGGCTCTCCCATTACTGGAATAGGAATGAGAGGAACAGGGTGAATCACCTGATTCGGTTTACCAACAACTTGGCACACATGACATGTTTGACAATAAAGAACTACATCAGACTTAAGTCCTGGCAAAAAGAAGTGTTTTAAAACTCTTTCATACGTTTTTGTTACCCCCATGTGACCTGACCACGGATGATCATGATCCAAGGACATCACCTGAGAACGATAGGCTGTTGGCACGACAACCTGATAAATCGCAAAGGAGTCTGACTCCTCACAGGCATCACTAATCCAGCGACGCATTAATAGGCCATCTTCCATAATGTAAGCCATCTTCTTTGACTTGGCCTTGATTGATTGATTGATTGAAAAGTTTATTAACAGCTTGTATATTGGGTACAGTACAGTACAGCTCAAAACATACAATTGTTAAGGGGATGCAGACCAGAGAAAGACTTTCGTCTTGTTTACATCAGGGTCCCCCATTTCCAATTCATCATATCATTTAAGACATATAAGACATATTTGACAGACAGATGGCTTATTTACAATTTACATACAGGTGGTTTTTTTCATACAGATTGCTTATTTACAATTTTCATTTTGTTCTAATGCATCCTAACCGGACATTTAAGACATACCAAGTCTACAGATATACAGTTAGTAACAGAGTCTAAAATGCGAGTATATACATAGATGGGGGGGGGGGGAAGCTGTCCATTGAACGACAGGTTGAGATTTGTACCATTACCGGGGCCAGTTTTGCAATGCTCTCCCCCGAAGGTGCTCTTTAAGAGAGGTTTTGAAGGTAAGTATAGTTTTACTTTCCTTTACAGTTGTGGGAAGAGCCTTCCACCTTGATGTGGCATAATTGCGAAACGTGTATTCCCCCTTTTTTGTGCCAAATCTGGGTTTCACATGATTTGTGGAGCTCCCTCTGGTGTTATGATCATGGTATTCCTTGACCTTTGGGAAGAATTTTGACATGTACATGGGTACCATAGAGGTGTAGTGGATCTTGTAGACCAGGCCCATTGCAAGTAGCTGTACTCTGTCGTCTACTCTAAGCCATCCTAGGTTGTCAAAGTGGGCAGAGGTGAGGTGGGTTCTAGATGAAAGGTCAAGCAGTAGTCTGACCAGTTTATTTTGCGATGTTTGAAGTTTTATTTTTAGCGCCTTGGAGGTGCTATGGTACCATGACGTGCAAGCATAGTCATAGTACCCTTGAATGAGTGCTCCTGCCAGAGTTTTCAGGGTGTTTTTGTTTACCAGAGAGGAGATCCGGTATAGGAATCTAGTTCTTTGATTGACTTTTTTTATTACATTGGATGCCATTTTATCACAGGAGAGGTTTGCCTCAAGAATAGATCCTTGGTATGTAATTTCCTTCTTACTTGTGACAATAATGTCACCCACTGCAACTGAGAAGTCGTCGGATTTGCTGAGATTATGTTTCAAACCGAAGAGAATGGACTCTGTTTTACCCAGGTGTAATGATAATGTATTATCGGCGAGCCAGGTGCAGATTCTGCCGAGCTCGGAGCTGAGGGTTTTTTCAACCTCCTGACTGATAACAGAAGACAGACATTTAGAAATTGTTTCATCATTTAACTCGGCTGCCATGAATTCTTCCCGAGTGGCAGGCAGTTGTACAAGCTCTGAGCTGTTACTGGGTGACCCAGCACCAGCAGACCAGGCCTCCTCTGGCAGTCGGTCCGACACAGTCATGTCTTCAAGAAACTGCCCTGTAGCAAGAAAAGAATCAGACAAGTCCTCTCCATATTTCTTTGACTGGGCCCTTGTAACAACACAAGCAGGAAAGATTTCGGGAGGTACTTCAGCTGATTTCTCTGCATCTAAACTTAGATCAGGAGAATCAATTACCTCAGGTACTGGCTTAACTTTGCCCCCAGCCAAGTAATTACTGAGTATGAAATCAACACCTTTGATGGGCAAGGCAGGGAGGACAGCTACTTTAAAGAATTCTTTGACAAGAGATGAGTGAATATAAACATTGTGCAAAGGAGCCGCAACTAGTGTCATGCCTACCCCTTGAACAACAGCACTTGATCCACATGATGATCTGGAGGTTAAAGGTAAGATGCCTTCTCTAATAATAGACTGAGAACCTCCTGTGTCCCTAAGTACCTGTACTGGCAGCTGGTCTTTAGGATCCCCTGTTAAAGAAACAAAGCCCTTTGAAATAAAGGGTTTGAAGCAAGGATCAGGTATATCATCTTCCTGGGACATTTCTATGTCTGATAGGGAAACTCCTTTAATGAGTCCCATGCCATTTTGGCGTTTGAAAGCGTTGAGAAAATTGTTGTTTACGCTTTAAGAAATGACACCCTGAAATAAGGTGTCCCGTTTTATGGCAGTAGTTACACTCACGGGGCCCCCGTGGAGGTGATGGTGGTCCTCGAGACCTTTCAAAAGTTGTTCGGCCAAGATCAGGTCTTCCAGTTTGCGACTCTGAAGCTTTATCTGGGCGCAAGGGTGAATAAAACAGTCTTGTGAGTGAGCATAAATCCATCCGCTAAAACAGCTGCCTTTGCCAGTGAAGTGACCTTCTGTTCATTTAAGAATATCACCATCCTTTCAGGCAAATAATTAATCTTAACATCTTCCAAGAGAAGTAACTGACGAAGAGACTCAAAATGATCCTTCACTTCATTAGCCGCACACCATTTATCAAAGAGAATGCCCTTCTCTCGCGCAAACTCAACAAATGTCTGCGTAGCAGACTTTTTATGGTGTCTGAACTTTTGTCTGTAGGCCTCTGGCACAAGCTCATAAGCACGCAAGATCGACTCTTTAAGCACTTCGTACTGCAAGCTTTCTTCCAAAGAAAGTGAAGATACCACTTCCTGAGCCTTACCTACTAATTATAAGAAAGACAGCGAAGGC